AGGAGTTCGAGACCAGCCTGAGCAAGAGCGAGACCCCATCTCTACTAAAAATAGAAAGAAATTAGCTGGACAACTAAAAATATATAGAAAAAATTTGCCGGGCATGGTGGCGCATGCCTGTAGTCCCAGCTACTCGGGAGGCTGAGGCAGGAGGATCACTTGAGCCCAGGAGTTTGAGGTTGCAGAGAGCTATGATGACGCCACTGTACTGTACCTGGAGCAACAGAGTGAGAATCTGTCTTAATTAAAAAATAAAAAAGGTAAACCGTGTACCAGGAGGGTCACTGAGGTGGTAGTTGTAGGAGCAAGACCTGGGACTGATTAAGAAATCACTGGCGCGGATTAGATTAAAAGGTACAGCATAGCAGCCATTAGAAGTGGGGGTGTCCTGGAAAGAGGTTCCTAAGTCAATGCTGGGTGGAAAAAGCAAGTTACCGGATCCTTTGTAGCTCTGCACAAAGGACGCGTAGGCGCTTGTGAAGGCTCGGGCGGGGTGGGGGGTGCAGGTGAAGACCGGATTTCAGACAAGGATAAAGGGCCCCTCAGGAGGTCCTCTGGGGAAGAAGAGGCCTAACACGGGGTGGTGCCAACTCAGGGACAGGCCTAGACGTGGGAGGGGGGCGTGCAGGTCCTACACAGAGTGGGAGAGGACCCCGACCCAGCCCCAGGGGGCACCCACTGGCTCGGGACAGGAGAGCTGGTGGATAAAATGGAGAGAAGCCCGTCACCTGGGACCCAAGTTCTGCAAGTGGGGAAGGAACTGCCGCCGACCCCTCAGCCTGGTGCCGGCAGTGCCAGGCCACTGTAGGTGACTGCAGAGGCCAAGAAGAATGGGTGCCAAGCGGGGGAGGGCACGGATTTCACGTGCCACCCACATCTCTCCCGGCACTCACAGTCACAAGAAAGGAGGTAAGGTCCGCCGTTTGGCTTTTTTGGGGCTTCCTCTGGGTTGGGGCTCTTTGAGGTCTAAGACTTTGGGGCCAAGCTGTTAAAGTGACTTTTCTGAGAGTCTTCGAGCTGGGGCTGGCTGGAGAAGGGAGCATTGGTCACATGGACATGCACAGAAAAAAACAAACTCTAGAAAGTGTAACAGTAGTTGTCTTTAAACTTTTGTTGGGTGGTGGGATTACAGGTAATTTTTGTTTTGTTTTTAACATTTCTTCACATTCTCTGTTCTTCCTAAATGAGCGTATCTTCTTGTGCGGTGGAAAACACAGTGCCTCTCGATCGATTGTTAAACAACCTTCTAAGTCAGCAGTGCCCTGTGGAATTATAATGCGAGCCATATTTGTAATTTAAATTTTTCTAGAAGTCACATTAAAAAAGTAAAAAAACAAAACCGAAACAGCTGAAATTCATTTTTTGGTGAAATTTTTATTTAACCTAGTATATCCAAAAATTATCATTTCAATGGGTAAGAAATATAAAAATTTTCGTACTGTTTTAGGTTTTAAATTTTAATTTAAAGTAATTAAAAACAATCAATAGTTCAGTTTCTCAGTTGCACTAACCACATTTCAAGCGCCTGAGAGCCACTAATGACTCGTGGCTGTGGTACGGGACAGCCCAGTTCTGAGTTACAGACAAAGAAAAGAAAGCTCAGGAAGAAGAGAGAATTGGCTAAGCCACCAGCTGGGAAATGTAGTATCAGGATTGAAACAGGGATTTCCAATTCAGGACCCTGTGAGGTTTCCCCTCTCCCATAGGGCCTCTCAGTGGTACAAACCTGGTTTAACTCCTGTGGGGAAAAAAGGGTCTTCTGGTTTGGGATGACCATGATTTTTTTTTTTTTCTGGTAAGGACAGAGGCTCCCTATGTTGCTTAGGCTGATCTCAAACTCCTGGCCTCAAGCAATCCTCGTGCCTTGGCCTCCCAAAGTACTGGGATTACAGGTGTGAGCCACCACACCTGGTCCATGATGTTTAATGTGATCCAGTCCATGTATTAATGACTTTTCAGTTCAACTCTCAGAGTTCACAACCTGCCCATGGCTACAGCCCTCACATCTGTGGTAATGAGCTTCCCATCTTTGGAGGCATCCAAGTGGAGCCTGGATGGCCACCTGTTGTGGTGCTAGATGGAGACTTCCAGATGGAGTGGGAGGTTGCATGAGGATGACTTCAAACACTCCTTCTGGCTCTGAGATTTACGGGGAGGGGAGAATAGGCAATTTTGTCTCTCTCACTCCAAGCTGGGTGCCCCTGGGAGACCCTGAGGTCCTTGAGGGCCCCAGGGAAGAGCCTCCGGGAGCCCAGAGAACTGTAGCTCCCTCCCAAGCCATCTGGCCACCACTCAGAGCCCAGGGATTGCGGATCAAGAGATTGCAGTGATTAGAGACATTAACCCGCAGAGGCAATGGGGACTCCTGCCCAGCCTGTTTCAATCTGGTGATTGTTCCACTGGCAGGGGTGGGGGAAGGGACGCAGTGGCTGCCAGACTCCTCATGGAGGGAGAAAAAGGCCACTTACTGACCCTCACCTGGTTCTCATACCAGGCCCTAAGGTGGGAGCCGTGACCCCATCCTCACCGGGAGGCCTGGGTGCTCGGCCATTTGCCAAGGGCTGGTCGCAAAGAGGTGGGTGGGATGGAAACAACCCCCCTGTGGCTCTGCCCCCAGCTCCCTGTGCCCCTCACTGCAGAGAGAGCCCCAGGGAGCCACAGGCAACCCCACTGCCAGAGCCCCTCCCCATTGCCCTCGGGAACTGTCCAAACTCCTTCACTGGCCTTGGGTCTGTTGCAGGGGCCGGACTTACTCTCCTTCGTGTGTTCACACTGCTGCATCCTCCGTGGTCTCCCTGCTGCTCCTTGAACTGCCTTTGCACTGGTTGTTCCTCCTGCCTGGACTCTGTCCACCATTCCTGTCCCTCCCCCTCCCCTGGCTCAATCTTCCCAATCTGGCAAATCTCTACTCACCTTTTCAGAGCTCATCTTAGACATCACTGCCTCTGGGAAGCCTTCCTTGATTGCAGCC